GGCCCCGGGGACCCCGGCCCTGCGCCATCTGGACGCTGAGCGCGGGCCCGTTTGAAGTGGTTGGAGGAGGGGGGGGTCTCTTTGTTCCCCAGGCCGCTCTGGCTCGAGGCCTGGAGGTGGTTTACTGGCTTCGATGCCTTTGAACCTATTCCCAGGTGACCCGGGCTCAATTAGGCCCGGGCCTGAGCGGGGCTGTCAGGCAAGCCGCGAGATCAAGGGCGGGCCGGGCCCTTTTATTGAAGTTGAACTCGGGGCGGCAGAGCACTCGCCTCGGCCAAACTAGAGGAGGGCGGTCTGTGCTGGCCGGCTGTTCAAGGGGACGTTTCCCCAGCAGCCGCGGAGCGAAGAGCAGGCCCTCACACAGACCTGGCTACCTAGCCGGGCTAATTGCTTCTAGTTTCTTCCTGACCCGCGGGCTTCGCAATCCTGTGACTAAAGGGTCCTCTGGAGCCGCCCTGCCCAGCGCCACAGCCACCGGCCTGATTACCCGGTCCCCGGTTTATCCAGCGCAGCAAAATAGCTCTCTGACATCCCCTTTCTTTAAAATTCTAAAATAAAAATGTCAGGAACAAAAAGCGAGAGGAGCCTTTCCCCTGCGGTCCCTTCGGCGCTGGGACACAGCCGTCCTGGGCGTTGGGCCTCTACGTGGGCCTGCGTGAAGGGATTGCCTTTCAGGGTGTGCTCTGCTCCGCTCAGAGCCAACAGCAGCGCTTTGCTGCTCTTTCACTAACTCCATGTGTCACTGGGTTGGGGGTCCTAGGACCCAGTCCCCTCGTTGCCCGTCCAGCTTAAATGAGCCCAGGGACACCCCTCCCCTGCAAACCAGGAGCTTTTAGGGAGGAGAGGAGCCTGCCGGCATGCAGCCTGCTCCAGTCCCCTGTGTCTGTCTCTCCTACTGGTGATGAGCATCAGAGCACTTCCTGGAAGTCAGGTCTACAAGCCTAAATTACGGCAATATGGTGCAGGTGTCCCTAGAAAGGGCTGACATCACAGGTAGGCAAGATTCTCTTTTAAACGCCCCTTGAAACATTTCTCCTAGGGTGATGGCTCAGGAAGGCATATGACAGGCCTTCGCTACATTGGCTCTGCCATTGCACACAGGACAATGGCACCGCGACATCTCTCTCCGTATGTCCAGTGGGTGGGTGCCCACTCTCCTTTTCATCCTCCCTCTACTCTTTCTCTCTGAATTGCAGGGGATGGGAAGCTCAAAATGACCTTTCTCAGACCCTGGCAACCCTGGTCTGTAGGATGCACTCTTATGGGCGCGGAAGGGAGAAGGGGCCACCCACTCTGCGGGTCCTGGTGAAGTCCAGTGGGCAGCACGGTGTCTGGTCGCTGATCGGGAGGTCGGGTCTGAACATGCATCTTCTGAGCGGAGCACAGCAGCAGTGGCACAGCTGGGAGCTGGGAGCGTAGCTGCTCTATTCGGGGCACTTCTGGAACCCTCGTCCTCCTGAGCTCCAGTCTGCAGTGCAGCTCGGGGAAGTCAATCCCCAAAGCTCTGCCCGGAGCCTGTTCATTCAGATTCTACCAGGGCCTCTAATAAGTGGTTTCCTGCTTGAACCGGCCAGTGTGGGTCCTGTTCTCTGCAGCAGACCCCGACTGAGACACCCTCACTCTGACTGTGACCTGGAGGGTGTGTTGTCTGCTTGACATCACTCTCGTTTGTCATGTGTAGCTCACGCTGGCCTTTCACACACATATAAATGCCTTTAGACTTAATCAAAGTGGTTCTTGCAATAAACTCATATTATGATATTTTTTGGCTTGGAATTTATACCAAATCTCAATTAAAACACAACAATGGAAAAAAAAGAATGGAAAGCTCAACCATGACGTAAGGAGAATGGGAGAGAGCAGGGTGTAGGAGCTGTGACAGAAGCCAGGTTTCTCTGCAGAAAACGTACAGATTTGATTTGGGAATCAATATAAATGCATAATTATGAAAATTAAGTCAAAATGAACAAAATAGAAATCCCTAAAAAATCAAAAACAAAGTCAAACAAATGCATCTAATTTTGTATCAGTTTGGTGGCTTAACCTTGCAGACAGAAATAATTTAAGAAAGCTTTAAAACACTATAATTTGACTATACACCTCTACTGGGGCATACTCTAAAGGGGAAAAAATTTTTTAAAAGGCATAAACTGTATTAACTGTATTCACATTTTTGTAACAATATTGCTGTTGTTATCCTGAAACTGTAAGCTAAAGCAAATAAGTCATTATGTTTCTGTCTTTGGGAATCAAGATTTCCAGCCTGAAAGAAAAGAGATGCATGGATGAAGTGAAGAAAGTTAAGACCATGGGGTTCTGAATTTGTTAAAAGATCAATATGAACTCATGGTATGTTCTCTCTTAAACAATGTATTTCCTGGCCCCGACCACCGAAAAGACCAGAAACGTTGAGCCACCCAGTGACAGTCAGCTGACGTTGAGCCATCACAGTGTCCAGACTGACAGTAGCCCCTCCTTGAAGAAATGGCTGGCTTACAGTCTGGGACAAACATGCACAAGATAAGCCCGGAGCACCTTACTATGCAGAAAGCCAGGAAGCTCTCCGTGACTCCTGGCATCATGTCGGAGAGACTCAAGAACGAACCTAAAGATGCCTCCACAGACCAAAGAAGGGAGGGATGAGTATCTGTACAAGAACAATGGCTGCAAAGGATGGACCCATTGGCTATGGTAACAACCACCAGTTTATAACATCCACCAAGTAAAACACTTATTGGTCACCTTGGGCTGATCATTGGAAACTGACTCAGGATTCCAAAACTTGGTAAATAAAAGAAATGCTCAAGCACATGACCAGCCTTCCTTACCAAGTTATACCCCAGAGGGACATGAGTTGCTGGAAAGCGTTTGCTCCCAGATGTGCTCCAGGTAACACATAGAGGCTGAAGGGTAGCATGGCTGCATCACCGGTTTGCAACCTCATCCTGGTAACTCACATCACCAAGCCAGAGGCACGGCCCTGGTGGTGAGGCCCTGAGGCACCTGGGAAGGATTCCTGCCCAGTCACCCCACCTACGGCCCAGGCAGATGTTTCCAGGAAACCCAGGGCACATCCTGGGACAGGCTGAATGGCATCATAGGGATGTGGTCACACCAGGCCCCTCCCCTGCTCAGGACCTGGAAAGGGCTCATCTCTCTTAGTGTAAAAACCTATCGTGACCAGGACCTGGAAGGCCTGCCCATCTGGTGATGATACTGACCCCTTCTGGGTCTGCCCTCCTGTCCCAGGCTCTGTCCCACTGGCCTCCGGGCAGCTCCTCTCCACCCAGTGTGTGCCCCTTGGAGGGCCCCCCTGGAACTCTCTGCCACCCAGAGGACCATGTGGCTGACTTCCTCACATCCTTCAAGTCTGTCTCAGATTCCACCATCACATCACAAACCACCCACTCCATCTGCTCGCCGCTTCGTAGGCTGGCAGGTTGTACTGTGTCCAGCAGGGTGGGTTTCCTGGCTTCCTGCCTGGTGGCACCTTGGCCTGTGGTCATCTCATGGCTCCAACCTGAGATGGACTCAGTCACAGGTCGGGTGGTCGGAAGGCTGTCAGCCGGGCCCTGTGGCTTCTCCAGCAGGATAGCTTACACTCTGTCTGTGGTTTCCAGACTCCAACCACAGGACAAAGAGCAAGGGGTAATGCACAGCTGTCAAGCCTTCTTTCGTGTCATATTTGCTAATGTCCCAAAGGCTAACGTAAGTCACATGGCCAAGAGTGTAATGCCAAGAGCTTGGCATTAAAAAATTGATTGGCAGCTCTGAGAGAGAGAGAGAGAGAGAGAGAGAGAGAGAGAGAGAGGGTGTGGGTGTGTGTGTGTGTGTGTGTGTGTGATAGAGACAGCACCTTTAAAATGGTTGTCATCCATAGACTTACTTTAAGATGATTAGCTGGGGGCCCGTCACATCTGGGGGCAACCACAGTCATTAGTGTTTGTCCTCTTTTCTCTGTGGCTGGCCACTCTCTCCAGAGGGGATTCTCCCACGTCCCGTTCTGGGACATCAGCTTGGGTCCCAGGGTTCTGGGCGCCAAGGGAGGGGAGAGGCCTGGGCAGAGCTCTCGTCATTCAGAGCGTGGATTCCCACAGGCTCACCCTGTGCTCGCACGGTCCCCCAAATGTCCTCTCTGTGCTGCTGGTGCCCGCAGTCTGAGCTCGCTCTGGCTCAAGTTCTCCAGAGTAGCTTCACTCCTTCCACCACGGAGGGAGGGCTAGCCCTGTGGGATGGGACAGGAGAATCCAGGAGAAGCGACTGCTCCTGACATTGACTGAGGGTGAGGACGCTCCTGCAGGGGGCCTGGGCCAGCCCGCTTCTCTATGGCATCCCCAGCCTGCACTCTGGCTGCTGTGTCCCTGAGTTGCTCACCCTCCTCAGCCTCCTTCCACTTCCCCACGTATGTCCTTCCCTGTTCTCTCTGAGCTCTGGGCTTTTGCTTTTTCGTAGTACAATTTTAGGTGGATTTAAGGGAGAGAGCAGACGTAAACAAGTATGTGGAAGCCATTTTCCATTGAAATTGCCATTAAAAAGCTAAAACACAAGTGCAGAAACAGCAGGCCCTGAGGTGGCTTGGCGTTCTCCCTGCTGACCCTGGCGGGCTCCAGGTGGCCGGGGATCCGGGCTGCCCTGTGACCTCCTCCGTGGGCATGGTCCTGGTGGGCAGTGGCTCGTTACTGGCCCCTCAGGGTGGGAGAGCTCAGTGCCCAGCAGTGAGCTGGGGCCAGAAGTGAAACACCATGAAAGACTTGCAAAACCCAGGCTGTGGGAGCGCTTGCTCCCTCTCTCCTTTTCTAATCCGTTGGCAGCCGCCCACATGCCGGATGGGGAAGTCACTGGGCTCCCCGCAAGCCCCGGTCCTGCTGGGAAGGCCTCGCCAGGTCCCATCCGAGGTTTTCCTAGGAGTGGCTGGGTTCAGCTTCACTTTAATGCATGAATCAGGAGGACTTGTTTTCTCCCCCCACCACCTCTTTGCAAGAATGAGGCACAGAAATGCGAGTCCTGGTTACCCAAGTGGAAACCTCATTTCCATTGTTTAATATAATTCAAACAGACGTTTGCTTAAATAGTTCTTACTGTCCTGCCCGGTTTATGTTTAATCTTCAATTTTGTAATTCACATCTCGTGCCTTCTCTCCCCCCCTCCGCCCCCCTCTCTTCAAACAGAGATTAACAGATGCTGTGGAGTCAATGGCTGCAAAGATAACAGGACACGTGGCTGACATCTCCTCGCCGAGGACTGCAGTTCTATCCTGAGGAGAATGTGCACTTTGTTGTACCCGGTGGGAAGAAGTGATTGAAGGGAGAAGACTGTTAACACGGGGCCTCTTTATTAACCGTCGCTAGCTGTGTGTTAACATGTGCTAAGAAGCGCAGTGGGAGCCACAGACAGATACTTCACATCCAGCGGTCGAGGGTTCAGGCGGCGTAGGAAGCAAGGCCAAGGGGCAGACTGAGATGGCGAGAGCAGCAGGGTCTGGGCGCTGGGAAAGCCCTCCAGGCCGAGGAGGGAGGAAGAGCATTCAGAGAAGACAAGAGAAGGTGTCAAGACCCACAGGGTGAAGAGGGCGCTGGTGTCCCCTCGACGGGTCACTCATGGCTGGAGCTCAGGGCTCAGTGCCAGCACCCCGGGCTTGCAGGTGATGTGAATGCGACCGGAATCTGCCTGACAAAGCAGAAACGGTTGGCTCAGTACTTGGGATGCTCGGGCTCAGGCTGGCTTCGGGTTCAGCTGGATTCAGGGGCGTCGGTGATGTTGTGTCCTTCTTCTCCCTCCCCATCCTTCAGCTCTGCTTCTCTCTACGTGTGAGCCTCACTCTCTCTTGCTGCAAATGGCCCTCCTGTCCCCCTGGAACAGCAGAGAAGTTGGGCATGGACCCTGACAGGCTGCACTTCTGCATGTGGGGCTGGGGCCCTGATCCACCAGGGTGGGCGGGACCAGAAGGGCAGGCGGGGCCCTGCGTGTGGGGAGGTCCCTGCTGGGAGAGATGTGGCTGATGAACAAGGCACATCCCCTGCAGCGTGCACAGCAGCATGGAGGAAGGTTGCCACCAGGCTCTCAGGGGTCTCCCAGGTCCAGCGGCCGAGTCTGGGTTTTCTGGAGGCAATGGAAGCTACAGGAGGGTTCCGAGGGAGGACATGATGACTGGCTTTTTATTGAGAGAAGTTGGAAAGATGATAGTCAGATAGGGGGCAGTCTCAAAAGCTGAGCCAGCTGACCAAGGAGACGGAACCAAAGATCAGGGAGCCAGAGAACCAGGGAACGAGGAACCAGGGAACCAGGAACCAGGGAACCAGAGCTCAGGAGATGCAGTGCTGGTTAGAGCTACAGGGACTGCGTGGAGGGAGTGAAAGGCCATCGAAGGTGGGGAAGCCGCAGGATTTGACTCTCAGAGTGACTGTGAAGCCAGGGAGTGGGCTTGGGACTCACTAGGGAGGCTGCACTCACCCGCCCCTCCTCTCGCCTGTAGTTATGTTTCACTTTTAGATGAACTAGTTGGAAACTAGGAGGCATGCAGTTCAAATGCCACTTTTTTGTGTAAGAAAATGAATTAACACGACCCAGCCATGCACCCGGCTGTGCGGAGAGCAGCAACAGGCCCCGGTGGTGAGGGATCAGGACTCTGTCCCCTCACGGAGGGAGGTGACCTCGGTCCTTCCTCTCCGTGGACTCGGTTTCCCCTCTGTGAAACAACGGGTTGGGGGAATGGCCCCCACGATTCCCTTCCTGTGAGGATGTTGGTTCTATTGGCAGAACTTAAATCGCTGTTGGGGACTTCGGCATCCTGTCGCACTTCGATGCTTTTAAGAAAGGGGCGGGGGGGGCGGGGGGGGGCGGTCTGCTGAGACACAAGGAGTTTGACTCTGTTTAATCTAAATAATGTGCAGGGAGCCTTTGGTGACTGCGCGTGCCCTGACCCCTCGTAAAGTCCCTGCCCTGCTGCGGCCTGGCCGTAAACCTTCCCAAGAAGGTCCTGTGAATTTATTGTCCCCAATCCTTCATAATGAGAAAGTAGGTTCTCTCTTCCACATGGCGCTTTTGAGTTTTAGCAGATCTTAAATTAAACCTGTACACTACGTGTTTTAAATTGTTGTTCACAAAACCCTAAATTCATGAGCTGACAATCTGACCCAAAAAGTCCTGCGCACTGATTTAAGTAAACACACAGGTTTAACCCAAAATGTTTGCAGGAATAAACTTGGAACTAAACTTGTGTATTAAACTTGTCTTGAGTATAAAAATGCATCAACGAAACCTTCTGGGGGAACACTCCTGGGTGCGTGGGGAAGTTCCCTTTCCTGGGGTCATGGGAGCACCGGGAGTGGGCTGCAGCGCCCTCCTGAGGCCCGAGGGACGGGAGAGCGCGCTGACGTCCTGGTTTCAAGAAGAAAGTGCCTCGGGGTCTGTGTGTGTTCTTCTCTGGGCTACACGTTTTTAAAAAGGTTTTTAATTATTTCACTTAATTCCATTCTCCTACTTTATTTCTTTATCTTCTATCAGGGAAGATAAATAACAACCCAAGAGCACCCCTCAACCCCACCTCATTCCCCTCCTCACCTGTGAAAATGGAGGTGCTGGTTTCCTCTGGCTGGGAGTCCACTAAGGGCCTCCAGGCTCTCCCCGGCCT